GAGAAAACTACTTCTATAAGCAAGAGGACACTTAGTATTTTCTTTTGGAAGCAGCCTTTTCTGCTCTAAGAAACAAAACGGACACAACCCCAAAAAGCAGTGGGGCATGGGGTAGAGGGAGCTCTTAGGAAGAGAAAGCGAACCCTGAGCTATTTCAATCTTTCTAAAGAAAGCCAAGCAACATTCTGGATCTCAACTACTTTTGGACGGCCCAAGCCAGAAGGTCAGAAGACAAAGGAACAGATTATTTGGGAACCACCAAAGATGGAAACGTTTCAATTTCCAGCAGACAAAGCATTGCGAGGATGTTGCCCCACATCGCTAACTTACTTCAGGATCATCAGTGTAGTCGAACATTCGGAAGGTGACTCTTGGCATCGGGTAAACGGAATCTGCCGTGTGGGGTGGGGGCGTAAAAGGAGGCAGGTTGTGCTGCAGTGCTTCACAAAGCACGCTGTCGAAAGCGAGGTACGGCCTCGGAATGTGCCTCTCTTGCCAGTGATCCTTCTTCATTTTCTGAATCTGAGCCCAAAGGCAATCTAAGTACTGGGAAGCAAAGGCATCCATCAGACATTTTCGCATTTGGCGTGCGGGGACGTTCCCAAACCCAGACTGGTATACGTATTCTGTAGGAAGTCACCTATCCAATTTTCTTAGAAAGTACAGTATTGCAGGGGGGAAATGCAGAATAAAGGGAAAGCCGCTGGCATGACTTTCTCATTGGAACAGCGGCAACTTCGTGGAGTCAACACTAGAAGTAGGCATTTGCACTAACATTTCTTCAGATGGACGTGAGGACAGGAATTCAAAATCCTAATGATATTCACCTCTTCTTGTGGATGCGGTTTATCAGCAGACCAAACCTGTAGCATGGGCACGTGAGTCTTCTGACGCCGTCTGCCATAAAACAACATAACCGTTTTAAGGACTGCTGATAACTGATCTGCGCTTCAGCTCAGAAAGACTCTGAAGGAAACAGCACATTATTCAAACCAGCAAGTACTTCTCAATGGGCGGGAGGCATTCCCTCAAAAGTAAGGGTCTGGCTGTAAAAATGTGTATGTGCTTTCAATGACCTGATTCCTAACTACTGTAGGTTTTTGAGACAAAAGGCTCTGCCACCACATAGCAGGCGTTTCTTTTTGTAGAAGGACGCTCGTGGAGTCATAGAGCCACAAGACTTAGGGAAATTCTCTCAGCAGCTCCGTGACCGCTTTGGATCCCCTTTTAAGTAGCAACACTTGCCTACTGCTTTCCAGCAATTCCCACCCATTGGTTCTGGTCCTGCCTTCTGGGTCAACGGAAAACAATTAGGTTTTCTGCACAGAGCGCATGCCTTTCACAAATTTGGTGACTTTATTGTTCCTCTTTTTGAGCATCTCTTGTCCACGCTAAGCGTGCAGAACTCTTTCAGCGTTGCGAAGTCACGTGTTTTGTGTGAAGAAAGTACCCAAACTAACTTGGTTTACATCTAAAAGCCTGAACTATCTATTACCTCTATATTCAACAGTCGAGGAATAGTTATTTCCTGCAAATTTATGATCTCTACAAGGTTCTGTGTTCATAATCTATTAACAAGTAAAGAGGCAAAGTAACATTTTCTCTCATTTTCTTACTTCAGATAGTTTTCAACAGTGGACAAGATGCGCTCCATTTCAGTGTCCTTTTTCTCATAGAGCTCCTTCCCCACCCAAGGTAAGGATGACAGAAACGCGTACACATACCAGTCACACCGAACCTGTTAGTAAAAAAAGTGGCAATACGCAATCAGAAAATACTTCTGGTTCTTGCTAGAAGACTATAAGCAAAATCAGGTCAAAGACCTGAATCTCATGTGAAGCATTGTTTATGACACCAGAACTCTAACTCTACGTTACAAGGCTTCCGGTGCAAAGCTTCAAGAGCACAGGTCCATATGCGCACAAATCTCTACACATAAGTGACTGATTTTGTGACTTCCAAAAGAATCCTGCATACGTGTGCACAGGGGATACGTACTCAATCTGCACAAAGCGATGAAGAAAATATAGGACACAAAAGCCAAACAATTTCCCTTACGCTGGGCTGATTTACATAAGCTTTTTCAAGGAGCTATTTCACATGCTGCTTCTGACTGTATTTAAGATATACATTTACTCTCTGGAGTAAATGAAATCAGCCAGGGCGTGGCCAACCTCGGTTAGGCATCGGCATCAATTTGCACGATTAAAACATTTTCCATAAAACTGACTCTTAGAAATGTTTAAGGAGTGAGATTCCCATGCGAACCTTTTGAACTGCAGACTTTCAATTTGAAATAGGAACGGCAAGGGCCCCATTTGCCCTTCCAAATCACGGGCAGGTACCATTTTGCCTTGTGGTACTTATGTTCCCTCTGAAGGCCATGGGAGACTGTGACAAGGGCACCGGAAGATACATGGCCAAACGCTTCAGCTTACTGTTTAGGCTTGTGTTGTAATACAAGGCGAGCAGAGGCTTACCACATTTACAAACACACTGCAGAAATGTAAAAACCCCACTACCACATTTCAGCAACTTATTTCTCTAGCTACGAAGCAAAAGTATTCTTCTTTACCTGAGGTACATCCTCCTCCTGCGTCACACTAACAAAATTCTCAAACATGGCTACCATTGAGGGTGCAGCTATTACATGACAATTCACAAGATCAGAAAGAAAGCGCACCTGGAAAAAGAGAACATGCAGCTAATTCCCAGTCATGTATTTCCCCAAAGCATGGATAAACAGCAGCAAGAATTCTCATAAGGCCAGACACCAGTACAATTGAAGCCAGGGCTCTCTCTGGTTCAGCATCTTTTACTTGGGTAACAGGAAGCCCAGGGCCAAGATAAAACTGAATAGACACTTGCAAGATAAACAGAAAGCAGCCCAGCTTTGCAGGACCAAACTGGCACTACTTCCCAGATAAAATGCATTAGCAAGGTATATGAAAGAAATCATTATTTCTATATGCTGGATTCTGAGACCTGGTTTATTATCAAAATACCTGAAGTCTACATCAGTAGATCACAAAACCCGGCACACCGTTCACACTGCAGAAGTGCTATGACAAAGTCAGAAGAAATAAGGCAGTGAAAAGGGTTGGATGGGTATTTTAAATGATCACACGGAATTACATTTTCTGCCTTTACGAGCTGTAAGGTAAAATGGTGAGCTCTTCAAATCCACTGATCACCAAACTAAATAAAGACTGAAAGGTATGACAACAACTTACTAAATATACAGCTTCATTGTACATGTTGGCTTTCAAACATTCTTTCAGCTGACGTATCATTGCTTCTACAAACTCTCCACCAAAATTGTAGTTCCTGGCATTCAGCAAGCCAACAAGAGTTGTGTAAATGGTCATCTTCTGTGGTAACAGACGTGCACTGATTTTTTTTCCATTAAGGAGAGAAAAAGCAGTATCAAATATTAAATCACAAGCACAATATCATTACTCCTATTTGTGGTTTTCAAGTTATCTGGGGTGCCTAAATTTTGAAAAGAAGTGCCCCACATTAAAAGAAGATACTATGGGAGGAAATTCGGTCTTCATTTAACGGTTTGTGTACTGCAAATCCCATTGGGAAATTACACACAAATGTATATAATTAGGGGATATCTTCTGCTATGTTGCTATCTTCATTCAATCCCCAAATTAGGTTAGCTTCAGACTGAGAAGGCAATACGTTCCTTGCAAAGCAGGGCTTTAGTTGAAAGGAGAAGGTCTGATAAGCATCAGTTCAGGCAAAAATGCAATCCTTTCTTTGAGCGCTTATGAACATTCCAGAGTAAGCTGGCACTGTGAATGGCATCTCAATGTATGGCTGCAGAAAACAGGTTTTAAGAGAACTGTATTGCAGTTACTGGGCCTGAATGATCAGTAATAGAGAACTATTCTGAGACTGCTGTTCCTCTCCACTTTCCTTCCAAATAAGTTACCTTGCCAATTATCCAATATTGTATCCAAATTTCAAAAATAATTTAAATGGGAAAAATATGCAAGCATACACTTTTACAATAAAGCATTTTGGAAAAGTTACTTTTTTCAAAAGTAATTACTTAAAAGCCTTTACAGTAGGTAATGTACTATCACCTAGTTCCATAAATGTTTTGCATACATACACTGTACAAAGGAGTCTCAGTATTTTGCTTTTGGAGTTTGGTAGATCTGCCTCCAAGACCTCAGCCAAGTCATCTAAGTTACTTTCCAAAGAAGAAGAACTCTGAGGGGATAAGATATTAGAAAGTCATTATTTTGTGATGTATTATGAAGATGCTTCTCATAAAAATGCCCCATCTGTATGACAGCTACAGCAACTCCTAAGGTTATCAGTTAAAAGATACTCTGCTGTTATTCTCTTTCCCTCCTTAATGAATTTCTTATGGTAACACACATAACACAAAGAAAAAAAGAAACATCGGGAAAATATAAGAAAGTTTAAAATAAATAATATCTTCTTGACCCTCCTAAAACACTGAATGAGGTGCTGTCATTGTACAATGAAAGCTTCATCTGCAAACTGATTTTCTTCCTGCACTGAACCAAAGCTTCATAGTTACTCAGACTTTACATAGATAAAGGGAATATAAGTAGGAATTCAGATATGCTGAGCACTGATAAGATTGCAGTCAAACAAGTACTAAATATCCACATAGCTGATATTTTGAGTTTCCAATATAAAAAGACTGAAGAACACTAATCAAACCAATGAGGACAGCTTGATCAGCTAGCAGCCTCAGAACATTTCTTACTATTAAGAAAAGAAAACTGGAAAATCAAGGAGAGTGGAATGGCATGCTGAAACACAGCGTCGGAAGTTGGTTAAACACAATATTATTACAAACTGTAAACATACTGCAATAGTTTATTGCAGGTTCCATTTATAAATGAATATATGAAATGTTAATGTCCCATTATACAAAAACCATAAGCAAGGAGTACTTTATTAACCATAAGCAAGGAGTAAATTATTAAGGCAGATACTCTGATGGATAGTGTATAAAGGAGAAACCTCATTTTTAAAAAATGAAATGTACACTGTAGCTTTATCCCATTTCTAAATACATATTTATATTACCTCATTTGTATTTGAGTACAGTGGCACCTTGGGTCACGAACTTAATTCATTCCGCAACTCTGGTCGCGACCCAAATTGGTCGCGACCCGAATCAAATCATAAGGTTCAATGTAAATACGGTTAATCCGTTCTGAACCATATGTGTGTTTTTTTTAAACCACAAAAATATGACACAAAGTACAGTACAGTATGAAGAGAGAGAACACT